AGAATGAAAAAAATCCCAATGTAAGAACATACTCGTGAATTTTTCTTCCTGTTGTCTACTTTCAGAAAATTGCCTGTACAATTGCAATCAGTGAATTTGTACCTATGTTAATGCTATAATATATCTGTAATTACTGATAATCAAAGATTATCAAATTTTGCTTACAAGTGTGCTGTACAGCATTTTTTCTCAATTAAAATCGAATTTACAGTCATGCTGGATTAGCGCAGTGGACAACAAAGGCACTGCATAAAGTTTCATAGCTTTGGCAAAGTTATGGGGCTTAAGTATCTTAAATCTCCTACTTTATTATGATCTGTTCTTCTATTTTTCTTTGTTTTAATCTATGATTTTCTTTAAATGATCCATTTTGTTATATTAAATCTGTTGAATTTGAGCAATTAATTCCATATCTGCAAGTAGTACCCAGCTGCCCTTGCTGGAAAGAGAAGGCCTGTTCACAACACCGGCATGACAAACTTCAGTCCTTTCTCATCACAGCAGATGAGCCCTATGAGCAAAAACGTTCTTTCTTAGGGGGGTTGACATTTGCAGCTCATCTCCAGTATCCATCCCCTTCTCGGTGAGCCAGGCTGGCTGCCACAGGCAGCCTCGGGCTCTGTTAAAGGGAGGAAGCAGGGGGAAGATGGGCAGCTCAGCCCATTGTTTCTTGCCTTCCCTCCCAACCGTAGCAGCTCCTGTGTGTCACACCACTTCTACCCAGGGCTGCTTCAGACACACAGTGGCCAGTTCCATGTGCCAGATGCTGAATTAGGTCACCTCGGCATCTGAGCCAACCGCAGCAACTACCAGACACTGTTGACCACTCTGAATCCCCACCTTGCTCACCTGCCCAGGCCTTCAGAGCCAAGGCAAGAGCCCCAAGTCACACTCCTGCAGCTCTTGTCCTTTTTCAAGGTCTTAAGTTCTGCCAGGTCACCCCAAACATGAATTTTCACTGGGGATGTGGCTGGGACAGAAGCTGTACTTTCTAAAATACCAGCGTTGTCTGTGCTGACGAGCACCCTGTGTGCAGGAAGGTTCCCGGTGGGGATGTGAAGGACAGGGTGTCCTGCTTCTGGAGTGGGAATGAGCCTTCCTGCTGCTGAGCGGACATCTTACCAGATGCTCCTGTAAATAATCATGAGGTATCCTTATATCTGCCTGCAAACTGACTGCTTTTCAAAGGATGACTTGCTTGTATTGTTCCAGTCATCCTGGAACAGTTTCAGACTGGTTGCAGCTGCATTTTTTTTCCCCTCTGGGGAACACATCAACCAGAAAAGGTTATGATGTCTTGGAGAATATTTCAAGGAAGTCACCAGGATCCATGCACGTAGCCAGGCAGGCACACCTCAGCCACAAGACTTCATGGGAGCAGTCTGGCTTCTTGACTTGCTTCTGACCCAACACAAGTCCTTAACCTGAGAACTTGACTGGATTCCTCTTCTTAATCATGAGAGATGGAGTGCTGTGTATGTACACAGTGCCCTTTGCTGAAATCTTTCTTTTCGTGGGACGCTGACATAAAGCTTAAAGCAGAAACAGCTCAGGGAATGATGTGCTCAAGGCACGTACTAACGGAAGCACACAGACCAAAAAACTGAAGTAACCACACCATAAAATATCATAATTGTTGTCACCTGGGCAGATCCCACTGGAGGAGAGCCTCCTTGCAGAACAAACGCCATCCAACTCGTTCTCTCGTCCAGCACTTGAGATGTTTGACCTGGATCTGTCACCAGCAATCTTACTGCAGTGCTGAAACTTCTGGCGACAAGACCATCAAGCAGCAATGTAGTCAGGGTCCTTGGAAAATTCTATAAATAGCAGAAATTTATGTCTCTTAAAAGTAGATTGAAAGGTGAGAGCAGTTAACTGCGGAAACCCTCTGCTCAGGAGTGAGAAGGCAGGGCAGAAGTTGAAGGACCATGTGTAGCACTAGCACCCAAAACTGGTAGGGTGTGTATCTATGGTGTTTTAAAGGTGATCTTCAGCAAGAGAGACACTGTGTCCAGAGTAGGGGTCTGAAAGTGCAGAGACCTGGGTCTTATTTGGCTGTTTTCACTCCAGAGGTTTTATCCAAGTAGATCCTGTGCCCAAATATCTGCAGGGTCTTTGAGTTTCCCATGTCAGGGCTTCCATTCCCCTTGCTCTGCAGAAATAGCTTGCCCATCAGAACGGCATTTTGAAACAGTATTATGAAGAAAAAAGATGATGAATAATTTTCAATGTTAACTATCCTAAATTGTGGTGTTTAGGCCAGGGTTTATTTCCTTTTTGTGATAGCTAACTCCAAAATCCTAATTAGCATTATCTCAGTTAAGCCATCTTTAAGATCTGCCTGCATATGGCCATGTCTTTTTACCAGGGGTTTGGGTGGTTTAGAGTGCCTGTGGCTATAACCCTCCACCAAATTAATCCGATGACATAACGTCCGTGTGATGTCATCGCTAGTTCTGGACCGTGGCAGGCTCTGTGACTACAGAGTTAATGCAAAGCCTAAATGCCAGCTCCCGGGTGCTGCTCCTGTGCTGGGGGGGGGGGGGACGAGGGGCTCCCCGGGCGGTGCCACCATCGATGCCGAATGTCCCCAATGTGTCCCCCCCCGGCCCCGAGCTGCCACCTTGGGGAGAATCGGTGTCAGCCCAGCCTCCGCCGCGGCGGGTGCTGCCGAAGGGCGAAGCAGCTCCACTCCCCACACGTGCTGCCCCACGGTGCACCCCAAAGTCAGTAATGCTCCACGGATCCAGTCTAAACCTACCGTGAAGGGACCAGGCTCTGGAGACTCGGTGACAAGTGGGAGCGAGTTTGGGCCAGAGCGCAGAGCCCCGTGCTAGAGGTTTATTTAAAAAGTAAGGAGAGGCAGCACTGCCAGTGACATGAAGGAGCAGACACACAGGCTTGTGCCACCATTTCCTCCAGCTACCTTCCATCTAATAGCAGCTCTGCTGCACTTACTCTTGGCAGCCAAAACAGCTGCATCTCTCTCCTTAAAAAAATAACCAACAAAACTATAAAAAAAAAAACCAACCCACCTGTGAAATCAAAGTCTTCCTGCAAACATAACACCTAGCCAATACAGAATTGACTGTTTTGCTAAACTCTGACTTGCAGCAAGTGCTTTTTATATCATGACACTGGATTCTGATGTACAGAAGAAAATCAAATTTTCTTCTCTCTGTATGCCCCATAGTTGTCAAAATCATTGCTTCTTTTTGTTTTTTAACATACAGTAAATAGGAATAGATGCTTTAAAAACTCTTGTTTCTCAAGTCAGGATGTCAATGAGCTATGAATAATGAAACAGAAAAAAACTGAATGGCTAAGACCCAGCAGAGATTTTTACCGGATGAAGAGGAACAGCGTCAGGACTGCGTTACAATAATGGTCATTTCTGCTGGATAAAGCACTTCTCCCCCGCTGCCGGTGCCACGGGCGGCAGGAGCCCGGCGGGCAGAGGCACCGTGTGCCGCCGCTCCTGGCGTCAGCCCCTCTCGCCTCGAGCTCGGGAGAACTGGCAGATTTTCAGCCCCTCAGATGCCAAGTGACCTATCAAAGCAACGATTTACAAATATAATAGTGGACTCTAGTGACATTTTTCAGTGGGTAAAAACGCACTTCCAGTTCTCCTTCCAAAAATGCATAATTAGTTCATGCTCCAATTTTTGTAGCGTTGTGTTAAATTTCGGGGGGATGTGCTTTTGCAGGAGAGGTGTACATTTACTCACACATATGTATTTCTCATGTGTGACTTGGTTGTAATCGGATGCAGTTTTTTCCTGACTTTTTTTCAGACTGCTGTAATACTAAAATCTTTCATGCTGTTGGAAGAGGTTAATTTGTTTGTCTGAACACAAACAACTGGCAATGCCTTAAGCGGTTCACTATTTCCTTTTTCTTGATACCAGAAGCTTTCTCTCCCTTCCCCCCCCCACCCCGCAACTTGCTCCAAAGCTTTACTCACCGCTTCTTTAAACTGATCTCCAACATTATATTATTTATGAATAAAGGTCACCCCGTGAGGAAATGGCACATCTACTAGAAAACAATGTGCACTTTCTAAATTTGAACCAAGTCGTTTCCGTTCTTTGATTTAAGTTTAGTTACTTCCTGTGGTTTCTTGTCCTACGCCGCTGCTGAATCTTTGGATCGACTCCAGGATAAATTGCACTCTTTCAATGAAATTAGAAACTGCAGCAATAGACGGCTTAGCCAGTATAGCTAGTAAACAGCACTTAAGCTAAATATTAGCCTACTTAGTGTTTTGAAGAGGAGTGCCTAATTGCCTGCGCGAGGTGATGCGTGAACCTGAGCCGCATGTGTGCCCCCCCTGAGCTGCACCCACCCGCCCGCCCCCAGCCCGGGCTGCAGCCGGACGAGCTGCAGAGCAAGAGCTGTCGCCTCGCGGGGCCGAAAGTCACCCTCAACCCCCGTGGGGACAGGACACTTCCACCCCAAAGCAGGGCCACCCGCCCGCAGGCGCGTTCTGGGTTAGCGGGGACGAGTGCTCAGCCCCGTGCTCCCCAGCACCTTTGTACCGGGCCAGCGCTCCGGCCAGCCACAATTTGGCATCAGTTTTTTTAGGGATGAGGGTCAACCGGAGGAAACCTCCCCCGCCTCCCAAACTTCAGATAAGTCATTTTGAGCGGTTTGCTGACAGAAATACACGTGAATATGTGCCGGTAACGCTAAGATGTGCTTCCCCTCAAGTAAAAATGATGAACAGGCACTTCAGGAGCCTGCAGTAACGGCAGCCCTGCCAGGACTGGGGGAGCTATATATGGCCAAGGTTAGGGAGAGGAACACGGTAGCAAAGGAGGAGTGAGGCACTTTACACCAGGGCAACTGTTCTCGGATGCAGGTTTACCTTGTAAGACCTTCTGCATAATAACCAGCCTCAGCAAAGAGCCCTGTTTGGTCTAGGGTTGCAGGGTAACTCAATAACAACGCGCTCTTTCTCTCCCCCACCCCTTTTCTTTCTCCTTTCCTTCCCCCAGGATACTTAAGAGCAATTTTTTCCACTGTTAATCAGACTGCTTTACCAATGGAGCCCCGGATCCCCCACAACATCACTGTTGTCCCCAACTCTGTGATGGTCCAGCCCTTACTGGACAGTCGGATCCCCTATGGGCGGCTGCAGCACCCGCTCACCATCCTGCCGATTGACCAAATGAAGACAACTCACATCGAGAATGATTACACCGACAACCCCACCGCTTCCCAGCTGGCGGCCCAGAAGCACCCCCGGGGCTCCCATGAACTGGTCTTGACCAACCAGCACCTGCAGCGGTGTGAGCAGGATGTCACCCACCCCTGGATTTCGTTCAGCGGGCGCCCCAGCTCCATCAGCAGCAGCAGCAGCACGTCTTCAGACCAAAGGCTCTTGGACCACATGGCCCCGGCGCCCGTGGCGGAGCAGTCCTCCCCCAGAGCCGTTCGCATCCAGCCCAAGGTGATTAACTGCAAACCCCTGGACCTGAAGGGACCTGTGTCTCAGGAACTGGACAAGCACTTTCTGCTGTGCGAAGCCTGTGGGAAATGCAAGTGTAAGGAGTGCGCGCTGCCCCGGACTCTGCCTTCGTGCTGGGTGTGCAACCAGGAGTGTCTCTGCTCGGCCCAGAACCTGGTCAACTACTCCACCTGCATGTGTCTCGTCAAGGGCGTCTTCTACCACTGCACCAATGAGGACGACGAGGGCACGTGTGCCGACCACCCCTGCTCCTGCTCCCACTCCAACTGCTGTGCCCGCTGGTCCTTCATGGGTGCCCTCTCCCTGGTGCTCCCTTGCTTGCTCTGCTACCTGCCAGCCACCGGCTGCGTCAAGCTGTCCCAGAGATGCTACGACCAAGTGAGCCGGCCCGGATGCAGATGCAAAAACACAAACAGTGTCATTTGCAAGGCGTTGCCAGAGAGCAAAGGAAGCAGGCCAGAAAAGCCCTTTTGATGGTTTGGGAGGATGGGGACTGGGAGGACGCTCCACGGAGGGGGGTGGCATTGGCTCTTTTTAATAACCTGTGTTCTGAGGATAACGTTAGCCTTTTGCCTTCGGAGAAAGCAGAAGCAACTATTTCCACAAACTGAAGCACTTTGGGCTATTCAGGGTTTTGGAACTGGTCAGAATTTAAATAGATGGGGCCAAAGGAGGAATCTTAATAATGTCGAGTGAAGGCTGAAAACCTATGTATATCATGAAGTACAGCTGCTTAAAAACTCCTGGTTCGGAGGGATGGCTGCTCACCACGCCTGCACGCCACAAGAACCATTAACTGCTCGCTTGGCAGGCATGGCCGCACAAGCAATACCCATTCCCAGCTGCAAAAAGCTGCATTGGATTCGTATTCAGGGCGGGCTTCTTGTTTTCGCTTTCCTTCCAAACTCTGATTTGCTACCAGCAGCCAGTTGAAGGTGACAGGTTCACTCCCTGCGCCCTCCTTCCCCACCTGCACCCCATTAGAAGGGCCAGTTGCACACAAAGTACATGTTTCTCAAAAGCTTTCTGTGTCCCTCAAAGATTTTGAATCAGAAGTAAAGATACAGGTCATATGTTGAAGGGTCTTTTAACGTTTAGGCACATCGCTTTCTCTGAACCCACCTGGCCACACTGATTTGGACCTTCTTGTTAAAGCAAGATGGTAACAGGGTTGCTCCCTCCCCAGGAAGAATAGCGGCAGGATGTGTTCGGGCAGTTGTATCAACATCATGTCCTTCTGCCTGTAAGCTGATCCGTAGCATCAGGTTTCACTCAGTGGAATATTAATTTTACATCAACAGTACAAACCCGTGCCAGAAGGATGTTGGTTGAATCCCATTTCCCCAGCACGTATGCTTGCTCCCCCAGTGCTGGGGCGAAGGGGATCTTAACTCACGCCACAAAGTGAAGACGTTCAGTGTTTCTCTAAACCTCTTAAGTTAAGAAGTCACAAAAAACCTAAGTGTAAAATACACCTAGGTGTATTTTTATAGAGATATCAATCCAGTACCTCCTCTCCTGGAACAAGCTCTTCTTTGCTCATTAAATAATAAGATTTCTAATATTTTTGTCTTGGGGATGAATGGCATTTGCTTGAAGTACAGCCCATTCCCCCCATCTCTATTGCTGCTGTTTGACTTTTGCCTCCTCTGTACAAAAGTGTGTCTTTTTAAGTGTAGAGAATGCTTTTAATGTTTATTTTAGTGTTAACAAACATTAGGGAAATCCAGGGGAAGGAAGAGAGTGTACTTAAGAATGTGCCCATGGTTTTCAGTAGGTGACTATCATTGGCTTTATCCATGCACTCATCCTAGGGCCGGTTCTGCATTCCCTTAAGATGCAGTAACCCCTTAAGATGCAGTAACCCCTTTCTCTTGACAACTACAAGGTGCTAAATAAAAATCTTTGTCCAAACATGCAACACTGTAATAAGTAGGTAGGTACTTGTTGCATGCAGAAAACTGATCTAGTCTCTCCATTTTTTTTTTTTTTTTAATTAGAGGAAATTTCCTCAGTAAATGCACAGCAGTGACAGTGAAATGTCATCTCTAATTAGACAAGCAATAGGCAGAGCTCATGTAGCATTTCCAGGAATCCCATTTGCTTGGTTGCAATACAGTTGCTGCGTAGGGGTTGGCAGGAACGTACTGATGGGACCTCTGGTGTCTGTTGTTTTCAGAATTCATTTAACCTGGATGACTTGGGGTTTAGTTAAGCTTAACTGTAGATATTTATTGAATGGGGAATTTAAAAAACAACACCACACTTTCTATATTTATAACATTTGCTAGCGTGTATATAAGTCATAGAAAAAGGGATACTACGTCTGTCACCAGATACCAATTCCTATAGTTTATCCTCATGTTGACCATATGGGGACACCAGAAAGAAGGAAGCAGGGGGGATCCAGAGCTGTATTTATTATCTTGCACAAATTGGAAGGGAAAAGATAAAAGGAAAACCAGCCCCAAACTAGCTGAACTGTTGGTTGAATGTATAAGGTATTGTATTTAATAAGAAATCATTTTCCTAAGATGCGAACAGGCTAGAAAACACAGCGGGAGAGGTGTTTACCTGCTGCCCTCCTCTATTGGGACCATACGTATCCAAACGGCCTCCACCTATGGTTGTTTTGCCTTTTTTGACCCTCTGTCCCTGGCTGTTCCCGGGAGATCTGTGCTAAACATCAGCGATAGCAAAGCCCGGGGCACAGATGCATGGTCCTTGCGAGCAAATACAACGCTGGAGTGGTCGCTGCCGTGCCAATCTACACTCATGTATATACACCCAGCAATCCCAAATGGATTTACTTTCATTGTACATAGTTGTAAACTATTTCTCTGTTGGTTTCTTTTAATATATAAATCCTGCTATGGTGTAAGCTCATCCCACGCTGGAAGACTGAAGCGTTAGCGGGGGAATATAGCAGAGCCACCTTCCCCTCTTCTCCCCGGCCTCCAGGTCCTGGGACAGGTTTGGGGTCCGCCGAAGCGGGGGCTCTGCCGGCAGCGCTGCGCTGGCAGAGGGTACGGCACCGGTCAACCACGTCTTCGTTCCCTTCCCCCCCACCCCCCTTTAAGGTACTCGGGTCTCCTGCCACCCCTGAGACGTACCAGGCAGCCCTGGCAGCTCTGCCCACCCTCCCCGCAGACTCGGGGGTCCCCCACCCCACCCCCGGCCAACGGAGGAGCGGCTGCTCACGAGCACGAACGCGGCGTTGGCTCTCGGGCCGTGTCGGCGCGGTGGGGTGGGACCGCGAAGGTGAGAGTGGGGGGTGAGGGCAGGTCCCCCAGGACAGACACCGTGCCACCACAGAGCAGCTCTGGAGGAGGAGGAAGAGGATGGAGGGTGCTTTGGCTTTACCGCCCTGCCCGGCTAATTGCTGTAGCAGGTTCACGGCCGGGTTTTGTCCCCTGCCCACACACAGAAGCCACGGCCCAGAAAGCAAGAAGGGGTGACTTTATGGCACCGTGTCCCCGGCTGGAGCTCACCCTGTGCCAAGTGGCTCCAAATGACAAATTCACCGTCACTGCACCCTCTGTCCCAGCACCCCCCGGGTACGAGGAGCAGCTACTAAATTCACGCCACCGGCTTTCCCACCCAGCCAAGCCCTCGCCCCGTCGCAGCACTGGGTATCCCCCCTCCCTTCCCATGCTTGGACACGCTGATAAAGGCTTCCCCCTTGTCCTGTTACCACCCCACCACATACACACCCTGAAAACTTACCACAGAAGGTTTTCTTTGTATAGAATATTTATTTTGAAGCTCTATTTTAATAGTATTTATTTTAGAAAGTCTACTATTGTAAGAGTTCTTCTGTTTGTGAAGAAAAACAAGTACTGATGAATGTACTGATCTAGAAATTATATATATATATATAAATATATATTGTTAAATATATAAATGGCTGTTGTGGTTTCTTTTAAAAAAAAATATCCCAAAGAATGTTTATAGCAATTACTCTAAACCTACAAGCAGAGTAGCCCAAAAATCAGTTATTTGATACTACGCACACCAGGAGCAATGGAGGGAGTTGAGTGCCTGGGTGGGACAACCCGTAAAAACCCGGGGACACCGGCGCATGGTGCAGGCCCCCCCCGGGCCCCCCCCTCACCCCAGCGGGAATAGCAGACCCCGAGCCACACTGTCGAGGGCTGTGACCCACCAGCTCCGTGGGGGAAAACCACGGCCAAGGCAGAGCTCCCCGGGGGAAAGGGGCACCCCCCAGCACGGCCGGGAGCCCCCGTGTTCTCCAGCCCCACCGATTTATTCCATCCAAGGGCCTCGGGGCGATGCTGGGGCGGTTCTGCACTGCAGCCTGGCCCATCGGGGTGCACATCGTTTATATATTCCACAGTTCTGTGGCAGGGAAGAGCAAATCCCCCGCTCCATCCACTCGTAGGAGCAATTCTCTCCTTCCCTCCACCTCTAAAACACGGCAGGGAGATCTGCACTGAAGTCAGGCTGCTTCTCCCACAGGGCTAGAGCTCAACTTGTAGTATGAAAATGGGGCTGGAGGTTAAAAAAAAAAAAAAAAAAAAACCAAAACAAAACCAAACCAAACCAAACCCAAATTCAACGGTAACTGCGGCACAGCGGGGTTTTGCAGAGGCATGTTCTGAAGAGCCTCCCTTGACATTTCTGACCCGTTCCCTGCCGTCATGCTTCTTGTTTCTAGGAGCAGAGCCCGTGGGTTTTTTGGAGATGTGTCTGCTCAAAGGGCACAGGCACAGCAATGGGGCGAGCACGGCTGGGCTGGGGGTCAGCGGGAAAAGGCCAGGAGGGCTCTCCGCTCGTAATTTATGAATCTCTGGGACAGGAGAGGAACTCCAGGTGTTATCATTTTGATGAAGCGGCGCATCCCCCCCATCGCCCACCCCCAGGCACCCTTGGTCAGGCGTCCCTCTGCACGCAGGGATCAGGAGGGGATGGAAAACCCCTCCTCCTCATTTCCCCAGGCCATTACAAACCCTTCCTGCCTCGACACCCATACCAGCTCTCCACATCTACAGCAGTGACCCAAACTCCTCCTGGGGCAGGGTGAGAGCCCCAGCCCCACTCATCACCAGCGCAGAGGCCACCAGCATCACATTAGACTGCTAAAAATAAAGTATCTGGGTTATTTTTCACCATTCCTGTTATTTATCTGCACGCGCTATGGAGCTATGACTCATTAAAAGACACGCCATGTTTTGTGTCATCCGCAAAGGTACCCCGAGCGCTTTACCTGGCCTGAAATAATATTATTGAAACAATAATGTTGAGTTAGTCACTGGATGAGATAAAGAGACAATTCCTACACTGTACAGATCATGACATCTGATGGCAAAAAATTTGCAATAAGGAAAAGATGCTGAATTTGTTATGCTGGTGGTGGGCTTGTTTTTTTTTTAAACAAACAGACTGAGCCAGAATGTATAAATTTAAATCAGCGTTTGGCAACACTGACTGATGTCTTGCACACATAAAGCTTTAAAAATATCAACTTGGTGTTCACGTCTCTCTGCTGGAAGCAAACCAGAGCACTCTTGTTGATTTGACTATTAGATGTTAAAGTAATATTTTTTCATTCGGGATTACCACCTTTTTTAAAATCAATGTTTACACCATTTTCAATAATTGACCATTGAAGGAAACCAATTCCAACACCACAGGCACAGTTTATAAGATGACAAAGAGATAAACCTAGCTAAAAGTATAACAGACTTCCCAGCTCACTCTCAAGTCCAAAGCAACCATAGCTCTTGGAGGTCAGACCAGAAAGGGAATTTCTAGTGAATCAAAGCATCCAAAATAGCCATTAAGCAACATATGAATTCTGAGTGAATGGGCTGAAACTTACAGAAGTGAGATAAAAAGCTAATTTTACCATTTCCCTTAAAACTATTTTGCTACAATACGCACTTAATAAACATGTTGAGTTTTTTCCAAGGGTTTGAAAAACACCCTTGTTGAGATGTGAGATTTGTCAGCGCTGCCAGCAGCTGGAGGAGGGGACGGGGAGAGCAAACAAGTAACACTGGGCAAAAGTTGCATCCGTCCTCGAAGACAAACTCTGCGATAATACAGCTTCACACCGAAAACTAAATAAAGCCCTGAAGATGGGACTTTGCATTCACTGGCTGCTCCGAGAGTGTTTTTTGGCCAGGGAGCAGGATTCTTCCGTGGTGAGACGCCTCGGCGAGAGGAACAATAGACACGGCGCGATCCAGGAAAAGGCAGAAACTGCAGCGGATGCCCAATTCGAAAGTGGGTGCAGGGCTTGCTCAGCACCCTGCTGTGATGGACCCAGCAGGATCCGGCCCTCCCGGGCCCCGTGCACAGCACCGCTTGCCCTCAGCCCCTGCACCAAGGCAGAACCTGTCCCCTAGGTGCAGCTCATCGAGGGCTATAAAGCCAATCTGCCCAGGCTTCTCCAATACAGGACTTTTTTTAATTCTTTGCAATTATACAGGTGTTTTCCCACCGTGTGTACACACGCCCATAGATGCACACACACACGGAGACAGAGTGGGATCATTTGGTACCGTTCCCCTTAGTGAGCACCTCTGTTCTATTTACGTGGAAACTAGATATGACATTCAAGGTCTCATCTGTCTTTAAAAAAAAAAAAAATTATTAAAAGTCAGCAGAACCACATCCATGATCATGCTGCTGATATAAGAGCTTTTCTTTCTTTTCTTGTATTTCCAGGTGTGATGCTGGGGCAAGTGTGGAGATCAGGAGCCCGGCCATGGCATGGGAGGGCTGTGCTGCTCCCACGCAGGTACCACCTCCCACAGAGCTTCCTTCCCAGCAATAAATAATTTTTATCGCTGGGATTAGACACCAGTGGTGTGTGAATGGGCACAATGGTGGCTGTGCCAGGAGGGAGAGCCCCGTGCCCCAGCTGGGTGAGTAGTTGGCTTCTTGCAGGGCATCCACAGACCAGCACGTGGCACCCACGGATGAAGTCTGGCCTTTTGTGAGCAGCAGACAAACGGCGAGGGTAAAGATAAATTGCCTTTGCATTTTGTTTTACTTCCTAATGATAATAACCTCCTGTGTGAGACAGTGAATCACCAGGCTGCCCACTCTGACCCCCACTGAGCACCGTAAAATTTTAAAGATCTCCTCAAAGGGCTGAGAACAACCGCGACCCTTCCGAGGGCACCTGCACTCCCACTCAAAGCGAATCCTTCTTTTTTTCAGGGAAATAACCAGCTGGTTACAAAGGTCAAGGCAAAGCCTCTCAGCAGGGAGATGCAGGTCTCACCCCCTCCTCTTGCACCTCACGCTAGCTTGGGGCTCAGCATCAACAGGCTTTGGGGTGAAGGGGCTCAGAGCCACCCATGCCCTGAACAGACCCCGGGGGCCTGAGTCGGATACCAGGTGTCGAGGCAGAAGAGGGGTGAAGGGGGTTCACAGAAGCTGCTGTCATGGCCGGGGCCGCTGGAGCCCATCGCAGCCCCAGGGAAGGCAGCCCTGCGCACACCGAGGCTTCTGCTGCTTGCTTAGGGTTGTTATGGCAGGTAAAAAAAAACAACCAGCAAGCTGTAAAACAGCCATCAATGCTACGACTGGAGGAGAGAGTCTTCATAAGGTTTGGGGGTTTTTGGATGTTTTTGGGGTTTTTCTTAATAAAAAACCCAAACCACAATCTTCTGGATCTCCCTGATGTCAAGACAGTTGCCTCTATTTCACAGGGGCTCAACAGTCACCCAGCAGCAGCTCAGGGTGAGGGATGGCTGGGGACTTGGGTCTGACCTCCCCCCCCCCCAGCAATCCCCACTGCCTATTAAACCCAGAAAATTGCTAATGAGATCATGGGGAGAACCAGC